TTGCCTTTGTTTTTATGTAAATTTAAAGACTTGTTACCGTGGTAACCAAGTAATTGCTACGTGACAGGCACATCACGGATGTCACGATTTGTCATCATATTTCTAGCTTGCGTTTCCAGTCCCTGTCTTCTGGATTGTCTATGATAAAACGGTTACCAAAATTCGCCTATATTATGCAGCATTTCATGCTCTTTCCAATGATGTACTGATTGCGCGACAAGCTCACCAATGTCAAAACGGCAAGGATTAATAAGGCCAAGTCTAAACGCCGCATTTTACATGCGTCGAATCAAATACATATTCGAGTCGACTTGAATTGACATTTTTCAAATTTCAATTCAGACGTCGAATTTAATTGTTGAATTTAATTGTCGAATTTAATTAATTTGCAAAGCCCGCCAAATGGCGTCAAATCCAAACTGACAATATGGCGGATGAAGTTGATAAGAGAAAAACTTTACGTTTATGCCTATCAAACATGATTCGTGCCAACAGAAAACGACGACTTTTAATGCATATGGCATTGAATAACCTCCTGGCAAGGAGAAGGCAGCTTCTGTGTGTTTGTTATGTCATGCTTATGTTTACTGCACGAAGAAATGTGGTCGCACGCGTTCCTCGCCTACGATCTTGCCGTAGGCACATTAGAAATACCGGTTGGTGGCAAAAAGTTTGGAATACCTATTCTGATGCCCGATTTAAAAAAACTTTTCGTGTAACTCGAGGAACGTTTCTGTTTATTTTAAGTCGTATTAGGCCTGTACTTCAGAGACAAAATGTTACTGACAGAGGAGCCAACACTGTTAATTTCGAGGAGACAAATTGACTCCAAAAGTGGAGTAAATAAAAAAGGTACAGAACGACTCCTTTTTTGGAGTAAATTTTGCTCCTTTATTTACTCCATTTCCGGAAATATTACTCCATAAGTAGAGTTGTTTTTACTCCTCAAAGAGTAAAAACAACTCTACTTAAGGAGTAAAATTTACACCAAAAATGGAGTAAATAAAGGAGTAAAATTTACTCCAAAAAGGAGTCGTTCTGTACCTTTTTTATTTACTCCACTTTTGGAGTCAATTCGACTCCTTTGGAGACAAAATGACTTCTATATATCGGAGTAAAGAAAAGTCTTTAACTCTTTATCGACATGACCCTATTATCGCAATGCTTCTAAGCAATACGCTTTGCCAATTTAATATCTTCGGTTCATTGAATGCTATGAGGACAAAAATACCACCATTCGATTCAGTGTGACTAGATCTCCTCACTCGTAGCAATAGTTTTAGTCATTGGCAACATTATAGCGATTTATGAGCTTTAAAAGTAAAGCGAGATCGAATACGATCAAATTACGCATTTTACCAACAAATTATAAAAACATAAACATACCTTTCGCCGAATATAACTTCGGCCGCCTTGAAACGTATGCTCATTGTGATATTCTTGATGAATTAATCATTTAAAATGCCATGTATAACGTTATTTCCAAGCTTCTATCCTTAAGGGACGGACCATTTGATTTTTGATGGGTAGATTTTCAGTTTGCTCGATATTTTTTTTCCGCCTCCTGACACAGTTCGATTTTTTTTGTCAGTCAGAGGACTTGCACGATATTTTTTGTATGCATGTATATACATTTTTTAGTTTTTTGTTTTTACATTTTTTGGTATATAATAGTTAATTGTATCACTAATTGCCAAACGCCCCTATCCCTGTCTTATAAGCTCCTACACCACTAGCACCATATTTGGATGCAATCACCTACAGTCACATGATCACCCTTACCATCACAATCATTCAAACTCACTATACCATTGAGTAAGTTAACCCTTAATTGAAGGACCTGCAAATTTGCTTCACTTCACCAATACAAATGATGAACAATAAAGTGCGTAGTGTTGGAATGTCCCGCAAACAACCAGACCTTTGGTAGGATAACTTGACTAATAACATGTATAGTAGTTACATCCTTTCACTGTGTAATTGGTTATTTTCAGTTATTTCGTAATAATTTGTTTTCCTCTTGGTCTCACATTATATTCCGAACTCCTATAAACTCTCCTTCCTTCTCCTCTTCAAATTATATCTACCCCTGCCCCTCTTAAAAAACCCTGCTGAAGAAAACTGTTAGGTCGAAACGCATACCCCTGTACGCTATTCCTACTCAATTTCAATCTCTCGCTCTTGTATCCTCGCCTTTGATCGTGTCCCATAAAATTTCCACTTATTTTAGTTTCTACGGCCGTGATTTAATCGTAGTGTTCCTAGTTTTTTATGTACATGTTCATCATAGGAGCCGGAGTAAAGAAATAAAGAACAACCATTTTTGGAATTATACTGGTCCTCCCATTATTTAGGCTGCAGCCCCCCGGCGCCCTGGGCTACACGCGGAAATGCACCGAATGGCAAATAAGGATTACCACCCGAAAGTCTTGCTCGATATTTTTTTTCGTCCGTTTATTCTTGCACGATATTTTTTTTAAGTTCGAATTGCTTGCCCGATATTTTTTTGGGGATTCTACCCACTCCCCCATCAAAAATCAAATGGTCCGTCCCTAAAAGGTGACTTTTAGTGCCGAATTTTACATTTCTGCTCCGAATTTGCGATAATCCCAACCGGAAATACGACGAAAACTCGTCAAAACAATGCTACGCTTGTATCGCGTGACTCTGGAAATGCCAGAAATGGTTCTACAGGTCAAAGTGCACCCATACGCGTGAGTTTGACGTCATCCGGGCTAAAGGGAGCTCCTTATTGGCCAAGTATTACGTAATACAAGCGCGTGAGAGTAAAACCATAGGAAGCCCAAACAAGCGGGTTTTATTCAATAAAATCCGTAATTAAAACGTTTGAGTATGCAATTAGCAATAAAATTGCTGTTAGAATCATGCACGTAGCGTGCTCCGGTCGCGCTGTGATTTAACTACATAATTAGTGATGTATCCTATGTTATTGGGAAGGACGGAAAGTATTCCTCATTTGTCTATATATTGACAAATTTAAATGATAAATTACTGTAGGAAAACGGCACGTCAACTGCTAAATGTCTATCGTAGGTTTAAGTTGAATAATCAAACTATATTATTATCATAAAACTAGTGTGGAATCTAAAGGAAAGCACTGGAAAAAACGTGCAAAAGTTTCGTAAATATGCCGAAATATTCGTGAATATATGCGGGATGTAAGTACATACCCAAAATGGCGGCGACAGACGAATCTGATTGGTCGAGAAAAGTAAACAAAGTGCGAGAGATTTTGACAAAACTGGGGGGAGAGAAGGCACGTATTTTTTTTATCTAACAAGAACGGGAAAATAAAAAAAAAATACGAAAAATTGTAAATAATATTACGAAAAATATTTTTATTCATTATAAATTCAAAAATATTGACGAGGGCTATCAGTATGTAAAGTTCTGTCAAAAGAGAAAGACTTTTTTCAGGTACAAATATATATTTTTACGCAAATTCGGCTGCAACGTTTTCACGAAAGCATGTTAAAGTATATTCCTAATTGTAGTTTTATACCGGCGAACGGCCGTCAAGAAATGGCAAAAACAAAACCAGGAAAATACGTACAAAAGGAACGTCAACAATTTCTTATGGTTAGTTCATAACTTTGTTTGTATGACCATGAAATATACATAATTTATAAATTAAAGCCCCCAGTCGCGTTTCATACTAGTGTCAAAAACCGAGGTAAAGTGATAAATATGGCCTTGTTTTACTTTTATTTGGCAAAAACTGTCAGATAAAAGGTTTCCCATATATTTTAGGTCAACTTTGGTGAGAAAATTATAGTGTAAAAACACCTACCTTGAGATATTAGTTGGGTAAAGTATTCGCATGTCCGTTTTCATCAACATTGTCCACTCAAATAGGTTTTGCGAGTTAATGCCTCGAATATAATCACACATAAATGCCCAATTTGCCGACATACACAGTTTTTAGATTAAAACACAACCCGTTTTGGCGTTTCCGAGTTTTCTGCAGTCTACGTGACTTGTTGCACGAATTCATGTGCTTCGACTCTACGGCGATTTGAGAACACTTTCAAAAAATTGATTCAGCAAATCCAGAAACTCCTCTGACGTCCAAAGCTAGGAAAACGTTGAAAAACATTCAATATATCTGTATAGATCTCAATTCAAACTGTTTCGATGCATTCTGAAATGAGAAAAATAACCGAAAATGTCGCCTTCGAATTCGAAAACAAGCTATACAAGCGCCAAAAATCAATACTTAAAAAAAACAGAAAAAATAAGTTGCAGAATACCAAGATCGAACTGAAAACTTGTTATCAACACTATTGCCTGTCTAAAATGTGTTTAAACGGTTGAATTGTTGACCCAAAACAAACTGTCCCCTTTCTTAGATTACTACATTCTGCTATACCACGCATGCGTATATATATGCGATTTTGGCGCTTGTATAGCTTGTTTTCGAATTCGAAGGCGACATTTTCGGTTATTTTTCTCATTTCAGAATGCATCGAAACAGTTTGAATTGAGATGTATACAGATATATTGAATGTTTTTCAACGTTTTCCTAGCTTTGGACGTCAGAGGAGTTTCTGGATTTGCTGAATTTTTTGAAAGTGTTCTCAAATCGTCGTAGAGTCGAAGCACATGAATTCGTGCAACAAGTCACGTACACAGCCAGAAACGCGCAAGTCGGAACAGATCTGCAACAGATCTGTTAAATCCTGTTGTCAACAAGCCGATATCTGGATGCGTTCGCTCGCCTTGTACCTGTCTGTTCTGACAGGTCCGCAACGGCCTGTCAACAGGTCTGTTGGAAGCTGTTGTGACAGAGCTGCAG